AAGATCCCCAGAGGAGAATGGAGGAGAAGGGATTGCGGCATGGCCAACCCCCGGTGGGTGATTTCTCACTTTCTGTCTCTGTCTCTCTCTGTCTTTCTGGCGAGTGCACACACCCTATAGCAAGAAAAGAATTAATACTGATAATACCCATATTTTCCTGCCACAAATTTTCTAAAATTGCTAATAATCTCTCTATCAAAAAGTAGATATTACAACCTACTATAGTGCTTCCTCTTTACTGTTTAAATACACACAGATATTGAAAAGAAAATTTGTGTGGACTTCGTTTATTTCCAAATGACTACTTGTGATCAACATGAAGTTTTAGTGCTTATGATTAACACTATCCAATAGAAATATATTTTAAACCACAGATGTGAGCCACATTAAAAAGTGAAAAATAAAATTAAAATTAATTTTAATAATATATTTTCCTTAATCCAAGATATCTAAAAATCATCTTTTCAACATGTAATCAAATTATAAACAAGATATTTTATATTTTTTGTACAAAACGTTTTAAATCTGGTGTATATTTTGCTAATATTGTGTTTTAATTCAACCTAGCCCATTTAAAATACTCAATGGTCACGTGCCAAAAATGTAAGTGTTGTCTAGTATCCTAACCTCTTGGTACTCCACACTGCAATATAATTATTAACTTTTTGTTAAGTTCATTTTTTAAATTTTTTTTAAAATTTTTTATACATTCAATCTCATTATTTAGCTGAAGTTCATTTTTTAAATTTTTTAAAAAATTTTTTATACATTCAATCACATTATTTAGCTTACAAAGTGAACATTTCAATATGTGAACATTGCTCCCCAGTCCAGTTGATCAAAATATCTTCAACCGATAATACCACATATCCCCATCCCATCAATGCTCTGCCTTCGTATCCTTTCTCCAGATGAAGTTCATTTATTTTTTTCTTCCATGGTGGAAAGAAAGAAAGAGGATAAGAGAAAGAGAGACAGAGACCCCCCCATAGGGTCTTCACGCTATGATCCACTTCCAGTCTCAGCCAGCCCAAATTGCAGG